AGGTCTGCTTCCCAGCACATGTTCAATCTCTAACTGGGTTGCCTCCTGTGTATTTAATAAGCGCTCTTATATTTAGCTCTTGTGGGACTCAATGACTTACCAAGGTGTCCTTCTACCTGTTCCCAGCCATTCAGTGGGTGAGAGGCTCCCAACCCAGAACAGGCAGCACTTTCGATGTGTGTGCACGTGTCGGCCGTGTACATACACAGGCACACACAGGCCCCGATGGGCTGTGTTATTGATGTTAGGCACAGGATCGAAATAAAACTCGATTGTTAAGAGATGATCTGTTTCCCTCTAAGAAAAATAAGCAATTTTCATAGCCATAAGCCCACTCATGCTTAGAAACAGAGTCTAATTAGCAAACAAGATGGGAGAGGTTTTATAACACAATTTATTCAGTCTCTGAAAATCGGCTTCCTCCCGTAAAATAAAAACAGCAACGTTCCATTTTAAAAATTTACCCCGATTTGCATTTCTGTTTAAAAGCTTTTTTTCCAAAGGATTTTTTTATTTTTTCTGTAAATCAACTCCCAGGACAGAATTGGTTTAGTGCACTTACCAAGCGGTTTACTGCGTCCTGGGGGCTGTTACCTAGCAACTGCATGGAAGAAGCTTCTAGCGCTTTAAACACCCAGGAGCTCAGAAAACAACGCTGGGAGGCACACTTACATATCTGACTTTCTAGAATGTAATTAACAATTTTATTTTCCACAAAGCAAAGGAGACTTGAAAATGGATGTGATTCTTATCTATGTATAAATTTACACCCTTAAATGTAATTGCGTATCGTCAAAGCTTTTAAAGCAGCGATTCTCAACCTGCGGGTCGAACGACCCTTTCACAGGGGTCGCCTAAGAAATAACAGTAGCAAAATTACAGCTATGAAGTAGCAACAAAAGTAATTTTATGGCTGGGGGTCACTACAACAGGAGGAGCTGTGTTAAAGGGTCGCGGCATCAGGAAGGTTGAGAACCGCTATAAAGAAAAGATAATAGAAATGACAATTAAAAAAGAAACCAAGAATCTCACACAATCCTTTTATTTTAAAAGTCCTGTCTCTTGAAAACTCTCTCCCACCCCTTGAGGTGGTTACAATAGTATGACTCCTGTTCCTACAGACAATTCTTTGAGCTCATTCAGATGTACCTGGGCCCACGCAGAATTCAGCATTTTACAAAACTGGGTTCATGGTTAGTCGGGGAACAGGGGAGTTCTCTTGTCGTGCTACTTACATTATTAAAAGGTGTGGTTGGCCTTATTGCAAGATAGTTTATTGAAATGTTTTTATCTTGAATAATGCGTGATTGTAATGATACTTGCTTAGAATTCTGATCAGCATTGTATCCCCAGTGTCCAGTTTTTCTCAGAAAACTGTTGCGGTCAATACTGTTATTAGTCACAGTTTAAATACAAGCGAGTTGGGCTCGGAGGGGCGCTGAGCTTGCTCCTGGCCTGGCACTGGGTGGTAACCCCATGATCTCATGTGGTTCGTCAGCCAGCGACAGAAAGAGATCTTGACCAAAACAGAGACTTTAACAGGGCGGGAAGAAAAGACAAGATGAAGTGTCTATAATTTTGAAAGAGAAAATGCTTTCTTCCACAAAGGAGGGAAATTAGATGCCATAGAAGAAAAGGATGGATTGGATAGCTGCTAAGTAGTGGTCTTTGCCATCAAAGCTGGACTTTGCCCCGTGGGTCATCTCACCAGCAAGGAAGAAAGAGGGTAGGGGAAGTAGTTGGTCTAGAACAAAATAACCCAGAAGTTGGACAGAACCTAGTCATGTGACCATATCTAACTAGAAGGGAAGCGGAGACATGTCATTTCTACCTGGGCAACTGCACACCCAGCTGGACTTGGGGGTGGGGGATGGGGACAGTGAGAGGAAGAAGGAAAGAATGAATACGGGGTGATAGGTAGTGACTGGTTTGCACTACAGCTCAAATCGGTGTCCTCCCAGGTTCCCATGTACAATACGCGCCCTGTAGGCTAAGATGCTACCCATGATTATGAAAAACGCTTCCAAGTTACAGCATGTGTTGCATTCAACTCAAAGTTCAAGATATCTGGGTAATGCAAGGTCACTCCTCTGCGTCTCTAATGGTCTCCAACAGACACACACGCAAAGGAGTTAGTGGCCTGCACTTCCGCTTCATAAGCACATACATCAGGGGGGGGGGGTAACTGTAATCAAATACTGGAGAAGGGAAGGATGGAAGACACCCAGCAGCCATGGTCCACAGCAGCGATGACATTCTGGGGGCCACGAGTCCAAAGACCTTCCAGGACATTCGTTGACTGGAAGTCTATTCTGATCTTGGAGACGAACAGCGTTGTCTCTTCACAAACATGCTCCTTGTCCAGGGGCAGGTTACTTCCAGTCCCTTCCACATGCCAGTGATTGGGCCCCAGTCTCTGCAATTTATGCAAATGACGACTATCATCTAGTGGAATATTCTATCATATTCCTTTTCCTGTGTCAACCATCCATATTGATTCAATTGATATCTTCTTCATAAAAAACATACTATATTTACTTTTTATCTATTAAGGAATCCCATGGTAATTATTAACTCCTTTATATAACAGCACGGTTTTCAACCTATCTGGTCAAATATCTCCTTTTCACAATACATATTTTGTAATCCTTCCTTTACTACCCTGGAACAAATTTCAAAGTAATGTAACTATCTACAGAAATATATTTAAAATACTTAATATAATATCCTAATTATAATATGAAGGAGAAACAGAAGTGAGCTATGAATAATAAAGAGGCATGTATTTCAATATGTAAACACTCAAGGAAACACAATGAAAAGAGAGATGCTTACGGACACTGGTAATATTAGTAATGAAATGTCCCAAATTTGTATTAATAACTCACAGTGCTGAACAGAAAAAAAAAAAGTAAATTTTCTCTTCCTTTACATGGTCGCTGCGTTCTTAGACAATTTAGTATCTACTAACACAGAGCAAACACACTTTGTATCCACAGATAAAATTGCCTCCGGGAATGTGTACTTTGCTTGATGGGCTACTAGATACCACAAAACTTTTACTTAACTGTAGGGGAATAACCATATGCAAAAATAAAAAAGGCTACCTAAATCTTACTACTCATGCCCTTCCTTTCAGTTCCTACCGAGTAGCATAGTTTTTGATAAAGTGACCCAGTGTAACCCAGCCCTCTCTCAGCCGCCCTCCCCTCCCCCAAACACAGTTACGTACATTCACTGAGGGGAGGGGAATATAGACCTGAGCTGAGTAGCATAGTCCTCTTTGAATGTGGCCTCACCCTGCAAGGTGACCTCATTTCTTACTAGTTTTTATTGTTGAATTTCAATAGGGACCCTTATGGTTATTATTATTATTTTTTTTAACCATAAGGTAAATAAAATGGTATATTTTCAAGCTATGACAGACACAAGGGCCATTTTTTCTCATGCTCCCCTACTAGAAGAATTACGGTCTGCACATTCCAGCAAGGGAAAGTGAATAATTGCATGTGGTATTGCATATACGATAATCATATCTTCCAAATTTTCTGGTACAGTTTGTATTTCAAAATATTCTGTCTTGTGTCATATATAGATGAGAGAGAGAATGATCAGATCTTGATTTTTAAAAGAGAAAATACTGAGATGGAAATTTAGCATAGGATTTCTACCATACAATGTCAAACAAACAAAAAACACAAATGAGAAAACAAAAGAAGAAGAAATGAGCTCTTTCATCTGCTGATATATGATAAAAACAGGAGTGAGGCCAATCTTCCTACCTCCAGAGAACTTGCTGAACCTTTGCCCAAGTAAACTTCTTTGTTTCTGTTTTGTTTTGTTTCTCATAAATTGTATGCTGTGTGTGTTCATTGTGTCGGTCTGGCTCATATTCCTTAACTCACCTAAAACTGTTATTTTATGCCTATGAATATTTATTTTCTTGGAACTTTAAACATTGCCTTTATTATACTTGTTTACTTGGTAACTCAAGATTTGTGTGTTGTTTTTTTCCCCAAAATGAATCCTACTGTAATCAATTCTCTAAAATGTGACTTCTGTTGACACCTGAGTACCTGGGACCAGGGCTCTTTCTCCTGCAGGAAGATATGTACTTGGGTTGAGACCCTCACCCCCTAAAGTGGCCTCACCTTCCCTGTGCCAGCATCTCCAGCACTTTCTATATTACTTTCTATATTTTTTCACCATTGAATTCTAGCAGCCTGTCGTCTTTTGAGTTTATGGCTTTAAGTCTTGAGGTTCAAGTGCAATCCAAATGCAAATGTATTTGATTGATATTATAGTTGTTTTGTACAAAATCTATTCCTTATATTATGCAAATATGGCCTACATCTCTTTCCATAATTTCCAAGTCTTTAATGCCCTGTGACCAATCACTACTGTTTTTGGTCAGTGTTATTCTATTTCATGCTGCAGAGCTATCAGAACCAAAGGAGACTTTATACATACAGTTGCTGATTTATTGTTTAGACTCTCCCCCACACCTGCCTGCATCTCACCTGGTGGACAGGTGAGGCACAGGAACACGAAATACTTTGTCAAAGCTGCCAATTTTGTTCAAGACAGAAGTGGGCTTACACATCTTCTCTTCCCTGTCAATCACTAACTCATAATCAAGTCCTCTCTTTTTCCAAAGGTTATTGACATTCAACATTATTTTGTATTAGTTTCGGGGGTACAGCACAGTGGTCAGACAGTCCTATACTTTACAAAGTGGTCCCCCTGCTATTTCCAGTACCCCCTGGCACCCTACAGTTATCACAACATTATTGACTATATTCCCTATGCTGCAGTACTTTGTCTTAAGAAACCTTTTTCCTGGGGATAAAATTACATAGATTAAAAAAACAAATCTCTAAAACGATTGTGTATATATTGAAACTTTTGTAATTTAATTCATTGTTTTATTTTCCGTATTATTTAAAAATATTGCCATCCCCAGGCAAACTGTTCTAATTTACCTGTTTTATTTCAAACAGATCATGTTGTCTGTGAAGAAGAGTTTAAATACGCCATGTTAGCTTTAAACTGTGTATGCCCAGCGACATCTACCCTTATTACACTACTGGTTCATACCTCTAGAGGGCAGTAAGTATATATTTTTTTTAAGATCATGCATTTTAAATTATTTAAAAAGAAATAAATAAGTTATGCAGTGATGTGATTTAGTCATATAGCAAACCAAGGTATACAGTTAGTTATGTACCTATATTTGTATTTGTGAATTATCTTCGTCTTACAGAGAGACAGATGGACAAATAGATAGACAGACAAATATAAACCCGTTACGAGGTCCAAGACACACAGAAAGTTGACGGTGATTGGTGGTCTCTTGTAACTAACCATGAGATCATTTGTTTCATCCTAAATTCTAAGTGTCTACATTCTTTGTTAGGCCTAGGCTTAAGACATTGTTTCTAATTTCGAGATTAATACTTAGCAAATAAACTATTAAATAGCAAGATGATGACGTGATATAGTGTAAGATCGTAAAGTCAGTTTTTGTTTTTGTTTCTATTTCTGGGGTAAGTTTTTAGTCTTAAAGCTATCTATACACAATTGACGTCTAAATAAAAAATTTTCAATTATTATAGAATGATGACAAATAGATAAAATTAGCTAATGTAGTATACGAGAAATCACTTTTTATATGCATTTCAAGGTAGATGGGGAAGAGTTGCATCATGGGGACACAGTGTTCTCATCGGCTTTGATAGAGTTTCGTAAAACACAGAGGCTGTTTTCAATTGGATGACCAAGGGAAATGTCATCGGGGAACACACTTACCACTCTGACTTAAGGAGACAAATACCACACTGCATTTCAGACCGTTTCATATTTTTTTGCTTGGTATTTTAGAGAAAAGTTGATTTTCTAAGTAAATCTCACTGTGGTCTCTGTGACTATGATTATTGAAATGAAGTTAATTGATAGCTATTGACATGATAAGACTAATAAATTAAGAAAAAGGAAAAATTTAATATTGGATGGGATACATTGCTAATTGCAAACCAGGAAATGCCCGGCAGTATTTTACAGCAAATTTTACTTTCCTGGGCGTACATTTCTGCTCTGCTGTGACAGTAGGGAGACCCCAGAAACAATTTTATGGATGTTCAGAGCATTCATATAATAGAGAAATTTCTATTCTGTACATTTACAAGCCTTTCATCTGTTGACGGAAATGATGGAACAGGGTCATGAATGAAATGGTCTTTCATTGAAGAAAGTATTCAGCACTGTGATGAAATTAAATAAAAGACTGGAAACTGACCCCAGTTCATTGGAATTCATCACCTGGGTTCATACCATCTTGTCATAGGATCCTACGACTTCCAAGCAAACATCTAGACCAGCTTCGTTGTTTTGCACACGACGAAACGAGAGCTGTCTACACTAACACACATCGTTACTCATAGACTGGGTCAATGACAGTGTCTTACCCTTACTGAGGCGGACACAGATGGAAACCACAATTAAGGATGAATTGCCTATCTCTGAATTTTTGTGTAAGAGGAATATGAATTTTAAAACATTGTATCTTGTATTTTGGAGACTCTAGAATGTAGCCAGTACCTTGGGTCATACAGCTTCCAAGGCTGGGTCACACTCTTATCCTCTTGCATCTCCTTTTCCTACTATTAACATAGTCATTCGAGCTCCAGTTGACCAGAAAGTAACTCTGAGATGATTTCCAATAACTGTGCTTCTTTGGTTCATTGAGCGGTTACCCTCTACCTTAGCAACTGACAGTCTTCCCCTTCACTCACTTTATTACATGTGAGTGTCTGTGCTCTTGGAAGTGGTATTCCTTATTGCTGACCGGATTAGCGTTTTGATTTATTGGGCAATCTTGTTAGAAAGATGAACACAAGTTCATTGTTTGCAAGAATCGCTGTAGGATGGTGAACATGGACCACGATCATTTGGGCGAGGGGATGCTTACTGACCAGGCCAGTTAATAGACATTGAACTGACCCACCTTGATGACATTTCATCCTTATCAAAATTTAATTTTCTATTCATTTTTCTTTCAATTTACTTTCATGAGAACTTTTTTTCATAAGTCCCATCCAAGAGGTAATATTTTTGGCCACCGTGATAATAATGGGAAAGAGAAAATTGATAAGAAAAATACTGCCAAGTTGGAATTCATAGAACTTGGCCACTGATTCTGTATGAATGGAGAAAAGAGGAAAAGGAAGCGAATCTCCTCACACTGAGCCTTTGTGGAAGGATTGCATTATAAAAATAGTGAAGTAAGGGAAAATGATTCAGCTCAAATCAAAATTATTTTTAAATGTAGCAGAAGACAAAGATAAAGAAGCTAGGTATCAATGAAAACAGTGATGAAGTCAAACAAATGTAAGCAAATAGATTCAGATCATGATAACCCATTATGGCAATATGCTGAGATAGTTTTACTTGAACCCCAAAAGGAGAAGCATCAAATAGAAATCAACTGGTAAATGATATGAATGTATATTTTAAATAGTTTGAATGGATGGGAAGATTTAAGAATCCCAATGCCACATGAGTACAGATTAGAGGTCAGGGGGAAGCAAAGTTGCTTTTATATTTTAGTATAAGCCATTTTAAAAACTTGCAATTTTGCAAATGTGTCCCCCGGGGATGGTCATTTCATAAGATTGCCTTTATGAACTGGCTGGGCAAGTATGTTCTTTTCATCAATGGGCTGTGGAAAGTGCTGTTCAGGGCCCTGTGTTCATGCTCTTTGTGAAATGAAAATGAACTCATAAACACTAATACCAAGTTTCATCCGTAGTCGTCCAAGTAATCGATGTCTTTACTTGGACGCGAAGAATACCTTCATTTGCAGTTGTTTCCTGAGCTTGCAAAATGTTCTCATCCTCTAACCAAATGCCAAGCGTTCATTAGATTACAGAGAGATGGTTTTGTTTAACGTCCGGTCGTGAGCATTGCACTTGTTGTGTCCATTCAAACTTCAGTGGGATTGGGGCGTTCCCAAGCAACTGTTCCTCCAGAGATTACTTAATCGTTGTGGGAAGTCTGCAGTCGCAGTAGAAGCACATTAAGCCCGGATGGGTGTGATAAATGATGTGGGGTGTGAACAGTGGTTCTGTTATTTCCTACACTTGCTGAACTCGTGTTCCAAGAGAGAATTCAGAGCACTCTTGGATGCGTAGTCATACTTTCCTTGAAAAATAAAATGATATATTCAAGTAAGATTGGGCAATACTAGCTAAACATTACATTTTTAATGGCTTGGGTTGTTTTTCTTTTCTTTTTTCCTTTGGTTGAACTACTTTCAGACTTAGAGAAAACATTCAAAAATAGTACAGGGAGTTCGCACGTACCCTTCCCGTATGAACGTGCTCGGATTTTCACATCTTACGTAATCGTAGTGCTGTTATCAAATGAGGAAGGAATGTGGATTCACGGGTTGGTCTGATGCAAATTGTACCGGTTTTCTCATTCATTTCCCTGGTCTCTTCCCGGATTCTTCCCAGGCCTCTCCTCTGTGGGCCCACATGGTGTGGCTCTTTCTGTCTCAGTTTCTTTGGGGAAGCCGGTCAGATGGGAGGAGGGCTCGCCCCAAGGTCTTCAGTGGACTGTTTCACCCCTTCCAAGGCCCTCCCTCCAAATAGAGTCAGCTTCCGAGGTCCTGGGGCTTGAGACTTCAGCCGAGGAATTCGGGGGGACCCAGCCCCCTCGTAGCAGCTGTGAGGGATGGGGAAACCAGGTTTCCCTGGCTCACATAGATGTGTTGCTATTGCTTCCACCTTGGAGACAGTTCTGCCGATGCCACGGAAGCCTGCTGCCTGGGCCAGGGAGCGGAAGGGACGGTGCTGTCCCTGCGTCCTGGCGGGCCTTTCTCCGTCTCCCACCCAACGAAACAAAACAAAACGTGCCTTCAACACTGAGGCCCGCAAGGGGACGCCTCGGCTCTGGAAGTGGCGCTTACTTATTGTTATTGTGTTTGTATGAGCTGACGTGTACCGAAACTCCCCACAAAAAGACACTTGATCAGACGTGTCGCCATCCGATTCCCCGGGAAATGCTCCCCTAAGCAGACGCGTTACGGGCCACGGGACCGTCTTCTCGTTTGCAGGCTATTCTGAGACATCCGGGCGCTGCTGTCGCCGGGCAGCCTCTGCTTGCAAAGCCCATAGCTCGTCATTTCTTACCCGATTCCATTCCAATGTGACCGTTTTCTCGGAGGCCCTCTGTGCTCTCGTCCTAACCTCCTCCCGTGTCCTCATCTCCCCCGATTCTCTTTATATATAGCAGCTCCTTCAAATAACAAGTTCCTAAATCCACTTCGCGGTTTCCGCCTCCTACACCTGTTTCCAACGTTCCCTCTGCCTCGAATTCATTTCTTCTGCCTTAGAGGGTTCTGCTAAATCCGAAATTCTATCTCCTCGTGAATATGTTTAGGCTCCCCGTTTAATGTGATTCCCCCCCCAGTTGAATGAATTCACATGGATTTTTATTATATCTGCCAGAGCAGGGGATCACGTCCTTTGTGCATTCATTTCTTCCGACTTATCAGCTGTAGTTCCACTCAAGGTGGAGAATGCGTCTTACTCGTTCTCACACCTTCTAGCATGTTTGTCACGGCCTGGCTGCTAAGTGACCATGAGTTAGATGAAGGACATAAAGATGCCTGAAGTCACTCATGGAGGGCCCCAGTGCAGGGGGGCTCATGCCCGGCAAGCCTTCTTTTGCTCTCTCATCACATGTCCCTGAAATATGACTAAAGAGATAAAACGTCCATCACTTTCATCGGCGGTAAAACACTGGAAGAGGTGCGCGATCTCACCGAGTCTGGATGGTTGAAAGAGGAGCAAGGACAGTTTCTGATGAAACCCCAGTCCCAAGACATGTTCAGACAAGGAAGCAGAGTGAAAAATGCCAACCCCCAGGCCAGCGCGGGGGGCAACATTTCTAGACAGAGCGGACACATTGTAGTTGACTTTCTGTACCAGAACCGCAAGCTGCCCCTGTTCCACCCCCACGGATCCAGTTCCCTGCATTTAGGCTTCGCTGGTAACTGCTGGGTGATCTCAGATGTGTCCTACATGAATTAGAAGAAAATGTCTGAA